ACCAAAAACGGAACGGTCGACGATTTCTCGTCTCCCTTTTCTATCTCTTCTCTCGTAAAGGGTCGGATCCTACCCTTTCTCTTCTCTCTCTCTACTAAAGGAGTGGAATTCCTACCCTTTTCTTATCTCTCTCTCTAGTAAAGGGGTGATTCACCCCCCCCCCCCCCCGTTATTTTCATTTCTCTCTCTCTTTATAAAAGGGGGCAAAAAATCTGTCCCCCTGTTATCATTTCTCTCTCGCTCTCTCTGTGCGGGGTGGGGTGGATCCACCCCCCATTTCTCATCCTCTTTCTCTCTCTAAAAGGGGATGTGGAAGTCCATCCATATTTTCATCCCTCTCTACCCAGCAGATTCTCTCTTTCCCCCTCTTCCTGAATACTCTCTTTCTTTCCCCCTCCACCACCCCTGCTCAAAAAAAAAAAAGGAATAAAGAAGGAAAAAAGAACTCCACTGAGTTCTACAATACTCAGGGAAGTTGTTACAGTACTTGCTCCGGTACTATTATCGATAAAGAAAACCAAAAGAGGGGCAGATTTCTGCTCCCTTTTCTTCATCTCTTTCTGCCTTTAAGGGGTGGAAATCCAACCCCTTGTTTTCATCTCTCTCTCTCTTTCTCCCCCTATATATAAATGTATATATATATACACACACACACACACACACACACACATATAGGGAAATGATATCATGTCACCATGTCATTATAATATAATGAAACCACACTTCTAGAAAATCATGTTTGTGGTGTTTGTATGACCTGAAATTTTGTATACACACTCTCTTTATCTCAATAATTAATCTTCAAAAAAAATATTTTCACCCTATATATGGTCAAAATGAGTCCCCTCCAACAATGAATATAGACCGTCCATTCGGTGAGTTTTAAGATCTAGGCCTTTATGAATTCAAAAATATTTTTTTCTTTTTTAACGTTGTTAATCTAATGGCAATAAAATTATCTAAAAATTTTGGAAAGAAAAAAAGCATCTCACTAAAATTGACGGCCTACGTCATCTGGGCTTAAAAAACACTTTCTAGGTTGTGTTTTCAAAATTTTCTTTTTTTTGTCATTGTTCATTAGAATGAAAAGAGTGTATATTTGAAAATTTGGATCAAACAAATGGCCCTAACGCAGTTTTTAAAAATTGTTTCACTATATTATTATACAACTGTTGCATGAAATTACTCCTATATATATATATATATATATATATATATATATATATATTAGTGTTAGTAGTAGGTCGTCGCGTACGTACCGTACTAACGTAAAACGTAAACGTAACGTACCTACCTACCTACTAACTTTAAGTTAAGTAAGGT